AAGGCAAACAGTTAATATTATTACCTGAATGTTTAAATCGCTTGAAAATTGTCTCTCTTGATCTGAGCAGTATACCTATAAGAATGATTTGTTACTTTTTGTATATTAATGCAGGCCAGCTTTACTTTATCACTGAGCCCATCATCTGGAGTTTTGCCATCAACTCCAGGAGCAGGTAGATGTCCTGTCAAAATTTCCATTCTCTTTTCTTACTGCTTTTTTAATACAGAAATATCGTGACTGTTCAAGCTACATCAGTTCCTTGCTAACTTATGAAGAGATTGTGTATTTGTTAGCTTTTCAAAAGGTATATGGGTATAAGTAGGAAATAATTATTCATTCTGAGACTGAGTTTCAAGCAGCTTTTTTTGTTCCTTGTTCCAAATGTGGTGTTGAACTGAGCACAGAGGTGGTTGTAATTGAATGAAGAAGCTGAGATTGATGGGTTGCCTTCCATCTTTGCAAGGTTTGATAGCTTGTGTATGAACCAGTGGCTTCTTGCTAAGCGTTCTTCTGTTGGCCTGTTCCTATTTGGCAATGGTATTAGCTGTTGGTGTTTTGAAGTCAAAGAGAACACTAGGCTGCACGTCATAAAAACTTACTAGTGTGTTTGCAGATGTGAAGTTATGATTGACTTACTTTTTCTGTCTGTGAGTAAATCCCCATGAAACTCTTCCACATGCAAGTGAAATGCTTGTCCCTGAATTTATTCTTTTATTATAAACCTCTGTCTTGCCAAATAAATTTGTTCAATGTCACTCTGTTTTTTCAAAAGAGCTTTGAAACTTTTAAAAGAACAGGGTGACAGTTCAAGAATACCATTTTAATTTAGCAGCTTCAAGCATGTTCAGTCCTGCAAGTATTGGGCAGCCTAAGAAGACCACTTTATCTCCTGCTCAGCTAGATCCATTTTATACTCAAGGTGATTCCCTTACTTCAGAAGATCAACTTGATGACACATGGGTAACTGTATTTGGGTAAGTTGATTTCCAAAGTATCAGAAAAACCTGGGTGAAGTCTTTACAGCATACAAGAAAAATATTTGGGCATTGATGTTGTCTGGCATTGGTATGTGCTGCAAATACAGCTATGGTTAAAGCAAGCAAACACATACATTTCAGTGAGGCATCTTAAATTGAGCTACACATTATTTTTTCTAGTTAGACAGGCACCATTCTGCTGTTTGGGTGTGTGGTAAAGTGCCTAGAAGATGGTATTTCTCAAGTCACTGCTTGACACGTGAATTCTTAAACTACTCATAATTTTTTGAGTACTTCTTTCTGTCTTTCAGATTTCCTCAAGCATCAGCTTCCTATATTCTACTACAGTTTGCTCAGTATGGAAACATACTAAAGCATGTGGTATGTCTTTGTTTTCTGACATAAGTCTCAAACTTTGTGAATGAAGCATGTAAAAAACTACATTTCACAATTTTCACTTAATCTCATTCAGATGTCCAACACAGGAAACTGGATGCATATTCGATATCAGTCTAAGCTTCAAGCCCGGAAAGCCTTAAGCAAAGATGGAAGAATTTTTGGTGAATCTATCATGATAGGTGTCAAGCCTTGTATAGATAAAGTAAGTTAATAATTGCTTTTAATTCAAAGGCACTCTTCTTTTTATTTTCCCTGACTTCTTTAACTTTTTTTCTTTTGGAACTGTAAATTGTAGGTAGTTTATCTGTATAGATATAGTCTGTTACACATTTACATAAGTTTTTTCTTAAGTATTTTTCAACGTTTCCTGCTGAGAAGGATCTTTATGATAAATCTCTTTGCTCTTTGGAAATTACAACGCACACGAAATTACAATTGCTGTACGAGACAGGAAGTGAAACCATAATATAAGACACAATTGAGATAAGTTTCCTGAATGGAATTTGTGACATTTAGGGCCTGCAATAAATACCTAATGGCAGATTAGGACTGTTGCTACTCCTAATTGTACCTATTTTTTATGTGACTATGTGCTTCTGGCTCTTGAATTTATCTTAGTAGTTGGGACTGAAAATTTGTTAGCAAGAAAATCCTAATCCTGTTCTCCCACCTGCCCCTATAAAAACATGTCACTCTCTTGTAAGTAGGAGTTGAGAGTACACATGGCTGTCTTGTAGTCTTAATATTAACATGAGCTATTAGTGTCTAGGTATTGGCAGTATCTTGATCTTTAATACTTGCAGCCCTTTGCACTGGGTACTGTACATTTGCTTAAGCAAATAACAGCCATTTTTCTATAGTGCACAGATTTTTCTTTTTTTTGTCTCCTTTAAGAATACATGATACATTTCCAATGTAAACCATTCTGAGAAGGCAGCCTTAGAAACTGAACTTGCAATTATTGAGCTTTTAGCAGTCTGAAACATTTCTTACACTTAATAAAATTCAGAAACAACTACTTCTATGGTCCTTTTCTCTGTGAGCTTCTGCTGGTGGTCTGTCCATGCCTGTTTACCCTTGTGTCCAGTTTGTATCTATCAATGAATTGCCTGTAAGCTGAAGCTCTAGGAGTAGTGATCTAAGACATTTAATTACCAGGCATTGCTTTTGAATTCTTATTATGTCTTTTGTGGATAGTATTCACTTTCATATACCAATAAATAAACCCATAAGTCATTAATTTGTATTTTTGGAGGCAAAAGATTTCAGGAGACTAATCCATTGAAGCATTGGTTTTGGTCAGACTTCCCTGCGATTGAAAACTAGATATGATGGATTTGACATCAGTAGTTAGGCTTCTGATTTAAAAGTATTACTTAGTTCCATGGGTTCCATTAATTAGTTCCGTGGAGCTAAGCAGAGTCAGCTGCACACCCACCGTGTACACCAATCCTATTGTTTATTTTGGAAAGTGCTCTTCTACCAAATGTGCTGCTGAATTTCTGCTATCTTTAGGCTGGTTGAATCCTATGCTGCACTGAGTGTAAATGCACCAAATCACATGTCCCCAGGCTGGTTGTTATTGACCATCTTGTTTTCTCTGGTTTGTTGTGGAACTTGTGCTTCCTATCAAGTTACCTCCTACCTCTTCCATTCTACACGCATTCCTTTCTAAACATAAGCTTATGAAATGGAGCCTTGAAGTTTGATTGTATTTTCTATTGTATTTTATTCTCTACGTTGTTTCAAACTTGGTTGACATTTAGTACAGACAGTGAACAGATTCTAACCTTCCAGTACTTTGCAATGGCATAATTCAAAATGTAAATCATTGCAGTAAGGAAAATGCTTGGTGGTCATGTGCACCTGTATGTTCTGTACTGACACACCTTTTATCTTTTGGGATCCAAATACATTTTATCAAAAAAATTCAAATAGTAGATAATTTTAGATGGCAAAGGTTGGAGCACTGTTTTTCAGTATTTGTTTACATTATATTAACCCTCTCTTTAAGAGTGTGATGGAAAACTTTGAAAGAAGCTCTACATTGTCAATGTCTTCGATTTTCACTCCACCTACAAAACCTGCTGGCACACCAACACAACCTGCAAATAATACTGCAAGGATATCTACCATGAGACCTCTTGCAACAGCATATAAAGCTTCCACTAGTGACTATCAGGTATTTTAAGGGAAGCAGAAACATGTGTTTTTGTGTTGTCTCCCCTTAGCTCTAGGAGTCTGTGCAGACATTAACTTCAATGTGACCTTTATCTTTTGCAGTCAGTTCTTTAATGATGTGGTTCAAGTACAAGCTCAGTCTGTTCAGTCTCTAAAATAATAATATAAATTACTAAGTTAATGACTTGTCACTTTTCCAGGGATTGAGGGCTTTTTTTGAAGATATTTCAAACTTATTTAATCAAAATATAGTAGCATTTAGGAAAATAAGAAATGAATGGTGTAAAAAGTATTAACTACATGTTGACTAATTCTCTGTATTTTCTTTTCTTGCTTTTCTCCCCGCCTTCTAGGTGGTTTCTGACAGACAAACTCCTAGGAAAGATGAAAGTATTGTATCTAAAGCAATGGAATATGTTTTTGGCTGGTAATATACAAGAGGAAGTAACACACTAAGCTGGTCAGGGTTTGAACTACGCTACTGGCATTTGTAGTTAGTTGTATAACTACTGGTGGCAGTATTTTATCTTACGTAGCACCTATTATGCCTTCAGTTTATTCAGAAGACATGTAGCTTGCACTTTAAATGATGGCAATGTACACATGGTTTTACAAACTGAGTAAGTGTAAATAAAAGTGCTTTATCCCTGTTTGTGCTCTGATGGCATGATTGTGAAAAAAAGCTGTCTCATTAAGAAAAGTTGTCTGAACTCAGCAGTCTGTCAGTTACCCAAGGGAGAGGTGGGCAGGACTGGAATACATCATTTTTTTCAGCCTCTAATCAGTGACTGTGCCTTTGGTTGTGTTTAAAGCCAAAGGGGGGAGCTGCTGTCTCCAGTGAAACAAAACTCCATCCTCAGCTGAAACGTTTTCTAGCAGTGCTGGGAGGTCAGGCTGCTCTACCCCAGCTGCGATTCCTCAGTTGTGGGGACCAGAAGTGCAGACAGGATGGCAGCACTGCCTGACAGCACCCCATACAGTGGGGCAGTTGTGTGTCAGCCCCCTGAACTGCTGCTTCATTTGCTTCATTTTTAGAACACCCAAAGGTCACTGTAAATCAGGGTGCTCTCTGGTTCTGCCCTCTTCCTCTCCCTTCATAGGGAAGGACCACTGCTGTGCTTTCTTGAATAACTTCCAGTATTCCAAGCTCCTTTGCCCTCAGTGGATGCTTGCCATGGAATCCCTCACAGCTGGATTCAGAAAATACTGGAGTTGACTCTTCTAAAATCCAGGGTCTTTGACTGCTGACCTTCAGTGTGCTCAGCAAGACCCTTAGGTCCACAATGTTGTGAAACCAGACCTTCAGGGCAGGGACCTTTCCAGCATGATCTGACTCGTGCACAAAATGCAGCACCAAAAAGAATGGCAGAAAAGCCCTGGCCTGTGTGCTCCAGGGCTCAGGTTTTGCTCCACTTCAGCTCCACAAAGATACAAATAAGGTGAAGAAGTTGCAATGTTTATTAATGGCAATCAAAGCAGAGGGATAAGCTTGGGAGAAGAAGGGAACAAGCAGGGTCTGAGGGCTGGATAAGCTTGGGAGAAGGAGAAGGGAACAAGCAGGGTCTGAGGGCTGCAGGGAGGGACCAGTAAAGAGGGAAGAAGGCAAGCTCAGGTGTGCCCAGCATCAGCTGTGCCTGGAGCTCCACCTGCTCTCCTCTGATCTCTAGGGGATGTGTCCTCTTTCATGGAATCTGGTGCTGTCCTGGTTGTCTCGATCCAGAAGATGAACCTAGTGATGCAGCTCTTTCATCTAACATGACTTGAACTCTCAGGTTTGTTTTGGAGGGGCTGTCATCTGTGCGAAGGGCTTGAAGGGCTGAAACAAACAGACCCACGGTCAGAGTGAGGAAACGCCCTGAAAGGACCAGCCCACCCAGCTCTTGCCATGGCCTGGAGGAAGCAGGACACAACAAGGATCAGCTGGAAGGTGCTGGCCACAACTCTCCGGCAGACCTCTGAAATGGCTCTGTGCTCTCCCCATGGTGCCCCCATCCACACAAGGAGCACAGCCATCCGCAGCTGGGGCAGGGATGGCAGCTTCCCCTGGCAGCTCCTCCTGACAGCCCGCTGGCCTGACTCACCCTCACAGATGAGCTGCAGCTCTTCTGGCTGCCCCCTCATGAGCAGCCCGGCGATCCCTGGAACACAGAGCCTGTCACGGCCCCTGGCCCTGGTGCTGCTGCAATGGGGAAGGGAGGGACCGAGCCCCGGTTTGTCACTCACCAGCAGTCCTGACGGCCGCCTCTCGCAGGGGCTCCTGCGGGCTCTGCAGGTAGGGCAGGGCCCGGCGCAGGTGCTCGGCCGCTCGGCTCCTGTCCTCTGCCAGCTGCAGAGAGCGGCAGGGCACGGAGGGAAGGGTTGCTGCGGGCCCTGCCCCGCGGCCGGGCGCTCCCTACGCCCGGCGCCGCTGCCCCTGCCCACACAGCCCCGAGCCCGGCCGGCAGCCGCAGCTCCGGGCTCTGCAGGGGCAGAGGGCCCGGCGAGCTGCGGTGCCGCCCCGCGGCAGAGCCCGGCTGGCTCGGGGCTCCCTCAGCACCGGCCTTGGGGCCGGAGGAGCTGGAGCAGAGCCCCGCGGCCCAGGGAAGGCAGCGGCGTGTGGGGCGCCGGCCGGTGCCCCTGCGTGCAGCGCTGGGCAGGGGCCGCAGCTGCGCCCCACAGACCGGGCACCGTGGGCAGGCGGCTCCTCCGGCCTGGGGCTGGGGCTCCCGGGCTGTCCTTACCAAGCGCTCGGCAAAGCTCCACAGGTCATCCGTCTTCAGCAGCCGCTGGAGATCCTTCCTCTTCTTTAGGAAAGTTACTGCACAAAGCAGCGTCTCCCGAGAGGCCTGCAGAGCGGCAGAGCCCCGGAGATGGCACCGCAGCCCCGGGCACAGGACCCGCGTCCCTGTGCCAAGGCCAGGAGGGGGCTGGAGCCATGAGGAGAAGCCAGGGTGTGGGGAGCCAGCTGAGCCCCCTCCCATGGGGACACCGGCACCCAGGCAGGAGCCCTCACCTGTGCCACACGCTGGTTCTCATCATGGCAATGGAAGAAGAGCGGGAGCAGGCTCTGGCTCACAAGCATCTTCAGGGGCTTCTTTCCCTGTTCCACTACTGTTTCCATCACATCTCGATAGAGGCGAATGGAAAGCTGCTGCACATGGCTGTTGTCCTGTTGGAAAGGAAAAAACCTCAGCACTGGATTCTCCAGGCCCCCCTGTGCACAGGCCCAAAAATCCACAGGGCACCACACTTCTGGGGAGCACCCAGTGGCCAAGGCTGGGGGCACAGAGCCTTACATGGTCAAAGAGGGGCCGGAGCACCTCAGCCAATTTTGGGGCTGTAGAGCTGGATGTTAGGATATCTTTGTTCAGGAGTAGATTTGTGAACACAGAGAGACTCCTCTTGACCACCTCTGTGTCTTCATTCCTCAGTAGCTCCACAAGGCGTTCAGAGAGGCTGCATAGTTTTTTGGCCTATGTGGAACAAAGGTTGTGCTGTGAATCCATGGAAAGCTGCACCACCAACACTGCTCCGGTGATGCAACCCCACCTGCCTGCCATGGAGCCCAGAGGCCAAAGGCCCGTCCCAGAGCACTCAGGCAGCTGAACAGCGACCCTGGAGAGCTGGGAGCAGCTGGCACAGCTCCCAAGCCCAAGGGGCTGCTTTCCCCAGCCCCACGCTGCCAGCGCAGCTTCAGCTGCTGCCTCCTTCTCACCATCGAGGGGTCCTTGCTGAGCACCACGAGGCCTTTGAGTGCCAGGTGACACCTCTCCATGGACTTGCTCTGCAGATACTTTGTCATGATCTCCAGTATTAAGTTACCCCATTCACTCAAGTCCAGGCAGTCCAGGACCTGAAAGGCACAGAGCAGTGACAGGAGTGCCCAGCTGGCAGGAGCTCAGAACCGCACAGGGCTGAGCCAAGGCAGCAGCACAGGGCATGGGCACCATCCCAGGCAGCTGCAGCTACAAGAGGGCAGAGGGGTGGGAGGCAGCTGAGCGAGGCAGCGCTGGCCATCGGGTTCACCTCCACCAGGAACGCCAGGGCAGCCAGATCCCAGCGTGGCTCCTCCCTGCTGAGCCACCTGAGCAGGCGGAATGCAGTGCCGGAACAGAAGGGTCGGCTGACACGGCGCATCTCCCTGGGGGGGAGAAAAAGGCACCATTGCTCCTGAGCTGAGTGGCCAAACCCCTCCCAGGGCCGACTCACAGAGGTCTGGTCTTCTCCCAAGCGGGTGCTTTGGGAGGCAGCTGCTCCAGGGCATCCTCCTCTCCCAGCCTTTTCCAGCCGGCTCATCCCTCCCTTGGGGACAAGGCCTTGCCGCCCATGACCACGGGGACCGCGTGGGGTGCTCTGGGCACAAAGGAGAGGGGTGGTGGGGAGAATGAGGTCTCACCTGGCCAGCAGACCCACTGCATAGTGGTGGGTGTCGGCACAGAGCAGCGTGTCCCAGGCACACTTGCGTTCCACTGCCATCAGTAAATCCAGACAACGCAGGTGGTGTAACAGTGCCCTCACAGTGTTCACTACAAATCTGTACGCAGAGCAAAGGCCCAGGTCATGCTGGGACCCCAGGCTTCAGCCCTGGGGATGTGGGAGTGACTGGAGGACTGGGAAGCGGCACCTGTTGATATTGGTGGGAAGGCCATTTTCCTCCTGACATCTTTTCCATAAAGTATTTATGTCCTCTGATACCTGCTCTGTACTGATGTAAACTTGGAAGAGCAGAGCCACAAAGAGATTGGGGAAATATTCCACAAATGGCTCTGGGCACCAGGGCAGGCGGAGAATCTCCCAAAGCACCCTGGTTGCCTGCAAAGGATAAACCATTTAGAGACAGCACTCAATGCCAAGTGACAAGGCCTGAGCATACAAGGGAGAGGCCAGGGGAGACACAGGGGGAGCATCTGGCCAGTGCCCCTGAACCTGCCCCTAAGCCAGGCATCAGCCCAGGGCCTGAGGCAGGGAGAGGCGTTGCAGTGGGGGAGAGGATGGAGAGGCACTGGAGAAGCAACCTGTGTGCAAGCAAAGGCCAGTTACAGAAACTCACAGCCAGGGCAAACACATCCTCATTGTCCCCATCAGAGGTGTACATTTTCTGCAGTGGCCAGCCCTCCATCACAGAAAGCAGTGTTGGCAGCACCTTTTCCAGTGTTGTTCTTGATGAGGCTATGGTCTTCCACATGATTGCAGCAGCTCTGCAGGACCAGAGCTGTGTGTCAGGAGGGTCTCAGCCAGAGCACTGTGGCCTGGGCAGCCACAAGGGCGCAGATGACAGAGCCACAGTGCCCTGAGGGGTAGGGAGGGAGCATGTCAGGAGGCTAATGGGCTGACAAGCCAGGGCTGGGAAATGGAGTGTCCAGTGGCTTCTGGAACTCTCTGCCTGTCTAGCAGACCCCATTGGACTGGTGGTACAGGGTGATGGGGCCTACAGGCTGCTTAGACCTGAGCCCTCGAGGCAGGTGGGCCCTGTACCTGTCACATGATGGGGCACAGCGCAGGAGGGTCACTGCAACATCAGTGGGGTGTGCCTCAGTCAGCCTCAGGATGTCCATGAACAGCCCCTCGTCTGGAGGCCCATTGGACACAAGCCTCTGGTGCATGTTCCTAACAAAGCCTGGCACCTGCAGAAGGCGTGGGGAGACTTGAAGAGCTGCCACAGCAGCAGCTTTCCCTGAGCAGTGCTTCCCTTCCCACCACATTGGGCTGGGCCTCAAAGGCTGAGAAGGCCAGTGGAACTGGCTTGAGGCGCCACCCAGTTCCTGGAGACACCCAGCCCTAGCCACAAGCTGCTTACTTGACTTGGACTGGAGACAACTCTGTCCCCAAAGAGATCCAGGCTGGGAGCAGGAGCTATGCTCTGAGTGGCTGTGGGGCCCGGCTCTGCTGCAGCCTTGGTAAACATGCTGCTCATCTCTCGGCACCGAGTGCCTGTGAGGTTCGTAAACATCTGCAAAAGAAGGAACAGTAGGGAAGAGAGGGATGATCCATTGGGTGCTCCAACAGTGATGCTCAGCTGACAAGGTGGGGATGGCTCTCAGTACCTGGCATACAGAGTGCCAGCAGCTATGGGTAGAGTCTGGTCCTTGTGTCTGGTCCCTCCCTGCAGCTGGCAAAGAGAAAGGAATGCCAGAGCTGAAGAGCTGCAGGAGAGGCCAGAGAACACAGCCCAGCCCTGCGGTCCCCAGGCAGGGACAGCCCCGGGATGCCCCAGGCTACCAGGGGGTCCTGCCCCAGCCCCTCTTCTGTCCTATCCATGGGCATGTCCAGTGGGATGGGATGGGATGGGGTGGGACGGGGCAAAGCTGGCTGCAGGCACCAGCCGTGTGGCCCAGCCCTGCCACTCACCCTTCTCCAGCAGCTGGAACTGTGGCAAGTCATTCTGTTGCTGTGGTGGGGCAGCACTAGGGCATTTTTCCACCTTCTTGGGTAGGCTTGGAGGTGTCTCTGCCATGCCAGTGTCTGGATTTATGGCTAGTTGCAGGAGACACCTTGAAAAAGCTGCAGGTCAGCAACTGCTGCAGCCATGCCTTGAATGCACCTACAGTAGAGAAGGCTTGGGATAAGTCCTGCAGTCTCCCCTGAAGGCCTCCTACCACAGTGACAGGAGATATTTTGTAAAGGCTCTGGGTCAGCAAGTCCTCCAGACTGTCCTTGAGGGCACCTGCAAAAGAGAAACCTTGGAAATGCTATGGATTCCCAAGTCCCACAGTCTGGCCTCAAGGTCACCTGTACAGAAAACTTCTTGAAGAAGCTCCAGGTCAGCAGGAAAGAAGTTGGCTGTGTGGAGCTCCTCACAGCACCGCCCTGTCCCGCTGTGTGCACCGAGCGCTGTGGCGTGGCCGTGTGGCCACCAGCACCTATGTCAGGACGTGTCACAGAGAGCCCTATGACACACTTCCACGTGCCCTGGGGACACGCCCACTCCACCCAAACTGCCCCAGCTTGCAAAGAAGACCTTCCCCCAAGTGGTGAAGACCCCACCCAAGTGGTGAAGTTCCGACAGGAACTTTAGGAAAGGCCCAAACAAGCAGCAGCTGCTCCTCTGCTCTGCCTGCTCAGGGCCACAGAAGGATCCCCCACAGCTGCCAACACATCTGCAGCAGGAAGGGCACCAGGCCTTCTATGGTCTCTTTGGGAGAAATCCCAGTGCTGGGTGGTTGTCATACACCCAGGGTGTGACACAGACACTGGACGTGTTGTCCAGGGCACGGATGCTGTTCTGACCCCTGGGGCCTGCAGAGCACTTAAATGAACAGGTGTGGCAGAGCTGATGAGGAGCGGGTGGGCATTCAACTCCCAGGGGAACGGTGGCTCAGGTGGCCAACTGCACCATCTTTATGTCCTGTCCTATGCTGGACTGCTGCCAACATCCTCATGGAGATGCTGGCACAAAGCCATGGCCTAGGATCCCCCCATCCTGCCCTGGGGAGCCTATCACACAGCCGCATCAGCACAGATGGATCGAGCACCGCCTGCCTGAGCCAGGCTCTGGGCTCTTGAATAGGTTCCAGAGCTGAGAGTTTGTGTAAAGGAGAAAAATCACCTCATCTAACATCCTGGGAGTAGTCTAGGGCCAATGCCTGGGATCTCTGAAATCAGAGATCAAAACACTCTAGAAGATCCTGGGAAGAGTGTCAGAGGACTCCTGGGAGAAGCCGTTTCCATCAAACAAGAATTGTCCTGAATATATCCTGTATCTACTTGATCTCTCCTCATGTGCTCAATCCAAAATTGCAGCTTGGAGCAGATTTAACAATAGGTAAAATCCATACAGGCATGTCCTCTCAAGACACTTGAATAATTCACTTTCAGCAAAAAGAAATTTAAATGCAGAGCAGTATCACAGACAGGTGTAAAGATGTCCATAATTTGGAAAAGGCAAATGGGGCTGAGTTGAGACAGCCTGAGTTGAATCTTCTTAAATAATTAAGTTTTTCTATCTTGCTTATCCACATGAGTGTAAGCAGCAGGATGAGGGAGGCTATCATTCCCCTTCAGTGAGCTGCTTCCTTGTAACAATTTTCTATGGCTATATGCATTAGAGGAGGCAGAGACTCCCAGCATGGTTTGGTGGATATGGTGCTCATACGTTGCTCTGGGGACAGGCAATCCAAGGCATGTGACATGAGGCTGCTGTGCCAGCTCCCCTCTGCCTGGGACACACACTCGAAGACAGAAAGGAGAACACAGTGAAGTTCCTCTTGCATCACCCTTAGCGATTTATTATCCCATCTGACTTCCAGCTCTGACAATGACCTGTGAATGCCCCACGGCACCATGGTCTGAGCTGGGGGAAGGCTGGAGCCCTGGGGCTCAGGCTGTGCCATGATGCCAACCATCTCACAGCTTTCTGCTGCAGCTGCCCCTTTTCCAAGGGCTGGTGGTGACTTCACCTGCGGAAGCTAGGTGCCACCAGCTGGACAGAACAATTAGGAAGTGAAGCAAAGCACTCCTTTTCTCACACATCTCGGGGAGGAGAGGTGTCCTTCTCCTCCCAGCATGAGCTCCAGAGTAGAGCGAGTAACTCAAAGGCCATCACTGGCAACCACAGTACAGAGGTCAACTCAGCAGGGATTGGGCAGTGCCCCCCAACCCCCAATGATGGGCACAGGGGAAGACTCCAAATCCCACACTCTTGGTGTAGACAGACAGCCTGTGACTCTCGACCTTGCAACCCAGGATGATAGTCTGTCCAAATGTGGAATACAACACAGCTCGGCAGCTTCATCTGATCTTCAAAATGGTCTGAAAAGGCACTTTACTCCCCATCTGGGGATGGAGAATATACCTGGAAAAAACCTCAGAAAGGGAATGTTTAGAAGTTCAACAGCAAGCAGAGGCTCTGCAGCACCAGCACAGCACCCTTCCCTGGCAGAGGCAGCAGTTCCACATGCTAAGGTCAGCATGGAGATATCCCATGCAGCACAAACCACCACGGCCCCATGCAGACACCGGGATCCAAGACAAGTCCAGGGCCATGGCATCCCCAGCATCCCAGGTTCAAGCAGACAGGGCTCCCTGCTCCTCCTGCCCTGCCCCAGCCGAGGGTCTGGCTCTGGCTCGCAGCTGCCCAGCCAGAGGGCTGGTGGGATGCAGCCGGCAGAACCGCCCCAGTGTCCAGATGGGGAAGATGTTGCGGTACGCGGTATAACTGATGGCACACGACTTGTTGAACACCCCAGCAATGTTCTCCTGGGAGACAAGCAGAGAGCAGAATGGTATGAGTGACAAAGGGACTGCTGCATGTTCAGGAACATCTTGGAAAGACTAAAGATGTACCTGAGGCCAGTCTCCATTGGGCAGCTGCTTATCCATCAACACTTTAATGCCCCTTTCCAGCACACTGATGTCAGGGTACCTACAAAGCACAAGGGAAATGTAAACATCTTTATCCAAACCATCTGCAAACCCTCATCCATGTGTCTGGGGTGCTCAACCACCTCCAGGCTGCCCCGAGCTTGCCCCAGGCATGCTGAATGCTTTGGGAAGGGCTTCCCACAACCCCAAGACACTAGATATTATGAATATGGCACCACTTTCCCAGGCAGGAGGCCTGCAGACATGATCAAAAGCTTTGCTTTCACTGGGTCACACCAGCCCAGCCCAAGGCCATCCAACACCCAACTTGATCTCTTTTCCCTGAGCACTGGGGCTACTCTTACCTGACAGCCATGAGCCCCAGCAGGGCCCAACAGGTGTTGTGGATCTGTGACTCAGCACTCTGCACATATGTGCACTGCTCGCAGGACTCGAAATCCTCTCCCCACCCGCCATCTGCCATCTGCTTGGAGATGAGGAACTGGCAGGCCTGGGCCACCTCTTGGCAGACAGTCCTGCAGGGATGGGGGCCAGAATCAAGACAGGACTGGGGACACAGGGTGTTTGGATGCCCACAGTTCTCAGCTGCAAAGAGAAGCAGTGCCCATGGCTGGGACTGCCCTGAGAGTTTGAGGGTGAGGCAGCAAGTGCCCTGGCCATACTGCAGGCACAGGATTTGGGAGGAGCAGTCCCTGAGGCAGGAGAGTCCATGCACAGCCAGGGATCCATCCAGCCCCACCACAGAGTGCTACCCTGGCCCAGGAAGTAGGTAGGGGCAGGGCACCCAGACATCCCCTTCTCACCCGTCGTGGTACATGTGCTGCATGCTGGCAAACGCCTCCAGACCAAACCAGGTGCCGTAGGTGAAACAAACCCCCCAGCTCCTAGGAAGAAGGGGAGAGCAGCACTGTCAGAGGTGCAAGACCCCAGGGAGAGGCAGGCTGCAACACAGCTGTGTTCACAGAAGAGCAGAGGCAGGTACAGAGCTGCAGCCTGCCTTCCCCTATGGCCCAACCATGCCCAGTCCCACCAGCACCTGCTCTCAGCTAACTCAAATGTCAGTAGAACTGGGACCACAGGAGCTGGAGCCACCCCAAACTTCTCCGGGTCTTGTGCAAAGCACAGGGTACCTGTTCTACCTGGGCTGGAGGGAGAGTAACTGAGAGCAAAGCACAACAACTAGAGGAGGATCAGCTCCTACTTTCCCTCCCACAGATCCTGCTTGCCATGATGATCCCTCTCACACTGGGGCAGCCAGAAGAAAATGGGGTACTGGGAATACCACTTACCCTTCCCAGGACCCATCTGCTCGCTGCTTCTTACGACAAAAATCCAGGCCCTTCTGCAGAGTCTCCCTGGACAGGAAAGAAGTAATCCACTTCAGAAGCAGCTCAAACTCAGTGTTTGCTTCACTGGGGGCTCCATCAGCCCCTCTGAGGCTTTGATGTGTCCCATTACTGGAGGGCACAAGAGCATGCAGACAGGCAGCTACATTGTTCAGGAGGCCATGGCACGCAGCTTGGGACAGTGAGCCTGTCTTCTCCCCTGCCCAGCTCTCATCTCAGTGCCTCACCTGATCTCCAGGGCTCGGTGCTCAGGGAACTGGCTCTGGAAGTGTTTCAGTGCCTGCATGACAGCTGATGTGCATTCCACGTACGTGTAGTCAATCATGATGTCACCTGCCAGCAGGCAATGGGCATCAGTGCCACAGCCCCTGTGGGCAAGCCTCCAGGCCAGGTGCTGCCAGCCTGTCCCTCAGACCCAGGGCACACTGATCCCCTCAGGCACCCACTGGGCATGGTGAGCCCAGGCCGCTTTGTGCCTTCACAGTGGGCAGGACAACCAAGCCCCACACACAGCTCCCCTTACCAAACACCTCCGAGGGGTTCAGCAGCTCCAGTAAGTGGCCTCCTCTCTTGGTTTCGTAAGTGGCAAAGCCTCCATCCGGGTTCCTCATGCTCAGCAACTGCCCAGACAACCAGAGAGGGGGGTGGGACAACCTCACAGGCAGTACTACTCCAGTCTGGCCCCAGGCCAGCTGTGATGATAAAGTCAGACCTACAGGTCTATGGGGCTGGCAGAAAACCCAGGTCCCAAACCACCGTGACAAAGCAAGCCCAATCTGGGCCATCACATGACATTAGGTCACACAGGCAGCTCTGAATCACAACAGTGTGTTACCACACCAGGGCTCATACTAGCTCAGATCTAACCAGATCTAATACCCGATCTAACAATTCCTTGGGTCTTGGCTTCTCTTACAGTCCTACATGTCCCTTGGCCTAATTTTTGCAGCTCTTACCACATTCACAGCATCATAGAGGCGCTCAGCAGGCACAAGCTTGGCTATGAAGGGACACTTCTCCTGCAGCAGCATAACTGCCTTCAGCCCTTCTGCTGTGCAATCTGCCACAATCCAGCCACAGTCCCGTGTGCTGAAGGGGAAGCCACCCTGGAATAGGATTGGGCGGATTTAGGGAGGAGGATCACTTTCCCTCACCCACTCTGTTCTTGGAAGAGAGCAGGGGCTGCCCCTGATTCCTGTTCCCTCTGCCCAAATCCCTGCCCCAGTCATGCATCCT